CATTCTGAAGGCTGTAACACCCTTTCGGTGAATGACTGCCATGCCACCAGAAGGAAGCACGAGGACTGGGATACTGTCAGACTGCCCAAGCCTAGAGAAGATAAGTCGAGAGCCAAAGGTCAAGTTCGAACCACGAACCTTCCGGTCAGTGAATTCGTGCTCTAACCACTGGACCATCTTGCCCAAAATCGTTCAGCACCCTTTTTATACCCAGCTGCCATGCACTGAAGGCACTTTCCTTCAATGCACATCGCGCCAACTTGTTTTGTTGGATTGGTCAACAGAGATCTCTGCCTTCTTTGAAGAGGGCTGGATAGAGTCCGTCCGGTTCTGGTGCCTTCTAACTTTTATTTATTTTTTTTCTTCTTCCGACGGATGATCAAGGTTTACACTCCATTCGCCTGTATGCACTTTCCCCACAGGCTGTATTGCAGGAGGCCAGCTGTACTGTTCTTCGAAGTCTTCGGTCCACCTTTCTGGTCGACGTTTTTGCGTGTGAATCGATGAGCTATTTTCCCGCTTCACGTTTCAATGAACGTTGCTTTCCTAGGGCGAGTCGATCGTATCAGTTGATACAGGGCACGGCTGGTTACCATATCAAAAGCCTTCTCCGTCTCCCGGTGGACACCGAAATGCGCGGGCAAATGATACTTCCCAGTTGTCCAGGCCGAGGAAGCGGGTTTCGCTGAGGTACCCTACCTTGAGCCTATGACTCAAAAGTCTGACCCACAAGGTGGTGGGGAGATGTAGGGTTGTGTTCAGGGACCCTTCCCTGAGTCGATGATTCAATAATCTGACCTGCCCGGGTACAGGGGGCTGACCTAACCCGAAGTCGCAGGGAACAAGACATAACTATCTCATTCCTGGTGCGGCTGAGCACAGCCTTTTGAGTAGCACTGGTTATAAAAGTATTTAAACTGTATTGAGTAATGCGCCGGCGGTCAACCGTTGGGCGATCGGAGTGTGCGGTTTTTAAGACCGACCATTCTTAACCCATCATCCCTCGGGGGAAGGCAGCATCACTGCATCCATAAATAAAGGGAATGCTGGTTGTCTGAGGGGAAACACTTTACTACCTTCATACTCCTATCGCAAAGAACAGTGCGATTCCCCACCAGACCGCCTCGTAGCACGATTGCTCGTGGTAGGGGGGTTGCGCTGCACTTGGTCTGAGTGTTCCATTTTGGCCTTCCTGGCATGGTTGCACCTTGCGGAACGAAGTTCCAGCCAATGTAGCCCGCTGGATCTTTGCACCGCTCAAGCCCAACCACCACATCAACGTGGCAGCTTTACGTCGGAATACTGCACGCCGTAAAACGGCAAACACCTCCACCAGAGGACGCCGTCAGGTGGTTCTGTATGGCCTAATTACACATTTTTCACTTGCGATGCGCCTTAAGTCTTTGAACCTACATGGTGGCACTGCTGTGAGAATCAAAAGTCGCTCGTGTTCAGTTGACGCGTCTGCCGAGTTCACACATGGCTGAACAAAGCTAGCTGTTGATCGTCTCCATAACCAGGCACAACTGTGGCGTAGGTATTGTGTACTAAGGCGTAGGTTATTGGTACGCATCCCTGGGTATGTTATGAGCTTCGGATGTTTTCCATTGCCAAGATGGAATTTCCAACAATGAATACGTCATGCACGTTGCTCACTGACTCACTATTATAGCAACCGTTTTAGGATCAAGATGGGGTGCAAATTCTAGCTTGCAAACCCACCTGCCGCCGTAGGAGTGTTGCTAGTTTGAGACATAAACACCAAGTATGGACCATGCTCATGCAAAAAAGGTCACTAACGTCCTCCTAGTCTTTTGCTTGAAGTTTGGCCAGGGATTTTCGCAAGAAATTCTTGCACATGCATAGACATCTGATTAGCATCAGGAAGAGTTGACCATGTACCGAGTTGAAAGACTGAAGATCTTGCGGGCGTTATCAGATCCCTAGACTTCTATGGTTACCATATTACCTCTAAGCTACTCTGGGGAAAACATGTTCTTGTTTTTTTTTCAAGCTAACACAGAGGACATCTCATTAGTTCCGTTTTCCTCCACACAACTTGAGTTAAGGATTACAATGACGTGGACGTCGCAGTATGCGATCGAATTTCGTGGCGACGGTTGGATTGTGGTCGGCTTTTGGGTGGTAAGCAGTCCATAGGAGAGAAAAGTGGACGCTAGTAGTCAGTGGGAAGAGAAACACAGGAAACTTCTTGCTGATGAGTGCGAAAAATGGGGGATGCCAAATTCAGCGAAGTGGTATATCGAATCGTACTAGCCAGAAGCTCTACCCACCTGAGTCATCTCGCCCAGAATCTGTCGGAGAGTGAAGATGTAACTGATGCATCCTCTTGCAGGACGGAACCTAGTTTGGTTTTCACAGTTCTGTCTCTCCCCGTGTTCAGTCAACCTCCGAATGATACGACCAGAAGGCTCCCTCGATACCACAGTTACCAGGTTGACGCCATGGTGGTTTTCACACAATGTCCGCGTACCGTTTTAGAAGATAAGTTTAACTATCGACATGCTCCATTCTGAAGGCTGTAACACCCTTTCGGTGAATGACTGCCATGCCACCAGAAGGAAGCACGAGGACTGGGATACTGTCAGACTGCCCAAGCCTAGAGAAGATAAGTCGAGAGCCAAAGGTCAAGTTCGAACCACGAACCTTCCGGTCAGTGAATTCGTGCTCTAACCACTGGACCATCTTGCCCAAAATCGTTCAGCACCCTTTTTATACCCAGCTGCCATGCACTGAAGGCACTTTCCTTCAATGCACATCGCGCCAACTTGTTTTGTTGGATTGGTCAACAGAGATCTCTGCCTTCTTTGAAGAGGGCTGGATAGAGTCCGTCCGGTTCTGGTGCCTTCTAACTTTTATTTATTTTTTTTCTTCTTCCGACGGATGATCAAGGTTTACACTCCATTCGCCTGTATGCACTTTCCCCACAGGCTGTATTGCAGGAGGCCAGCTGTACTGTTCTTCGAAGTCTTCGGTCCACCTTTCTGGTCGACGTTTTTGCGTGTGAATCGATGAGCTATTTTCCCGCTTCACGTTTCAATGAACGTTGCTTTCCTAGGGCGAGTCGATCGTATCAGTTGATACAGGGCACGGCTGGTTACCATATCAAAAGCCTTCTCCGTCTCCCGGTGGACACCGAAATGCGCGGGCAAATGATACTTCCCAGTTGCCCAGGCCGAAGAAGCGGGTTTCGCTGAGGTACCCTACCTTGAGCCTATGACTCAAAAGTCTGACCCACAAGGTGGTGGGGAGATGTAGGGTTGTGTTCAGGGACCCTTCCCTGAGTCGATGATTCAATAATCTGACCTGCCCGGGTACAGGGGGCTGACCTAACCCGAAGTCGCAGGGAACAAGACATAACTATCTCATTCCTGGTGCGGCTGAGCACAGCCTTTTGAGTAGCACTGGTTATAAAAGTATTTAAACTGTATTGAGTAATGCGCCGGCGGTCAACCGTTGGGCGATCGGAGTGTGCGGTTTTTAAGACCGACCATTCTTAACCCATCATCCCTCGGGGGAAGGCAGCATCACTGCATCCATAAATAAAGGGAATGCTGGTTGTCTGAGGGGAAACACTTTACTACCTTCATACTCCTATCGCAAAGAACAGTGCGATTCCCCACCAGACCGCCTCGTAGCACGATTGCTCGTGGTAGGGGGGTTGCGCTGCACTTGGTCTGAGTGTTCCATTTTGGCCTTCCTGGCATGGTTGCACCTTGCGGAACGAAGTTCCAGCCAATGTAGCCCGCTGGATCTTTGCACCGCTCAAGCCCAACCACCACATCAACGTGGCAGCTTTACGTCGGAATACTGCACGCCGTAAAACGGCAAACACCTCCACCAGAGGACGCCGTCAGGTGGTTCTGTATGGCCTAATTACACATTTTTCACTTGCGATGCGCCTTAAGTCTTTGAACCTACATGGTGGCACTGCTGTGAGAATCAAAAGTCGCTCGTGTTCAGTTGACGCGTTTGCCGAGTTCACACATGGCTGAACAAAGCTAGCTGTTGATCGTCTCCATAACCAGGCACAACTGTGGCGTAGGTATTGTGTACTAAGGCGTAGGTTATTGGTACGCATCCCTGGGTATGTTATGAGCTTCGGATGTTTTCCATTGCCAAGATGGAATTTCCAACAATGAATACGTCATGCACGTTGCTCACTGACTCACTATTATAGCAACCGTTTTAGGATCAAGATGGGGTGCAAATTCTAGCTTGCAAACCCACCTGCCGCCGTAGGAGTGTTGCTAGTTTGAGACATAAACACCAAGTATGGACCATGCTCATGCAAAAAAGGTCACTAACGTCCTCCTAGTCTTTTGCTTGAAGTTTGGCCAGGGATTTTCGCAAGAAATTCTTGCACATGCATAGACATCTGATTAGCATCAGGAAGAGTTGACCATGTACCGAGTTGAAAGACTGAAGATCTTGCGGGCGTTATCAGATCCCTAGACTTCTATGGTTACCATATTACCTCTAAGCTACTCTGGGGAAAACATGTTCTTGTTTTTTTTTCAAGCTAACACAGAGGACATCTCATTAGTTCCGTTTTCCTCCACACAACTTGAGTTAAGGATTACAATGACGTGGACGTCGCAGTATGCGATCGAATTTCGTGGCGACGGTTGGATTGTGGTCGGCTTTTGGGTGGTAAGCAGTCCATAGGAGAGAAAAGTGGACGCTAGTAGTCAGTGGGAAGAGAAACACAGGAAACTTCTTGCTGATGAGTGCGAAAAATGGGGGATGCCAAATTCAGCGAAGTGGTATATCGAATCGTACTAGCCAGAAAACATCACAGGTGAAGGACATACAAAAGTGGTTAAACCGAGATCCTCGAACAGTCTTCTATGGACTGCTTGGGGTCTACTGTCGTCTAGAGTTCAGGACTAAGGGCGGATGAGGACCACCTAAACAGGGGGTTGTGTTTCCCGTAAACTATAATTTGATACACTAGTGTTGTGACAATGCCACAAACATATGCTTGTAATGAATGGTACTGCCTACCTTTGGAAAATATTCCTCCTTCCATTCAAGAGCTTTCTTAGTTCCAATATTCCATGCCTTGTTTCCATAAGCGTACGCTGCTGCAGGATAACAGGCAGAAGTCGCCGCAGCAGTAAACAAGGAAGCATAAAACAGCTTCCGAAAAATTCCACCTTTAACGAAACATTAGCGACAAACATGGTGCTGACCTTTGTAACCCATAATCAGCCCTCCCAAACCACACACAGTGATGAAACCACCACGTGCCAATATTATGGGTTCGTCACGAACAAGTTCGTAAATCGCTAATAATTAAAGACTATGACAAAGGAAGCCATTACAGTTGGTTGCGGAGGAAGCCCGAGAAACAGAGTCTCCAGTGTATTCCTTGGATTAAAAATGGCGTACCAAATAAGAGCACTTTACTTGTACGCAGGCGAGCCATTTTTGGACAGTACACCTCACCGGTTTCACGTACTGCACTAAATGTTTTTCCACTAGATTGAGTGGCCGCATTTCGAGCTCATATTCCACATCTTCCTCTGGATATTCCGAATAGACAGGAAGCTAAAAAGGCTCAAAGACTCAAAAATTTTTTCAAACTTACATCTTTTACCTTCATAGCAGCTGTAATATACAGATTGTAGAAGTACTGTAGAACTGCAGTTCACGAAAATGTCTGTGGACAAAAGAGCAAAAGCAAAGCAAAAAACCAGGCCAGAAAGCATGAGAACTCAGTGGTTAGGGCGCGCACTTACTAACCGGAAGGTCCAACATCGGCGTCCCGACTGCTCCCATCTAGGCTTGGGTCATCATCATCATTGTCAGCTGTAATAACCGCGTACTGGTCCTCCAGTAGTGGTAATTGCCGAAGTTTCGTTCGCCGGTGATTTTTTTTGAGGGGGGGTAGGTAGCTGCGCATTGCAGGCGGGAGATGATAAATTGGTGCATAAATCCAGCACTGTCAGTGGGCTGTCAAGTGGGAGGGGAGGGTTGGAAAAGGAGGTATGCATTGAGGGCAATAGCTTGGATGCACGAGCGCCATTGAGGGCGCGGCTGGGCCATGTCTGACGATGTCTCCAGCCATTGATGTGGCCCGTCTCGGGGTCCCCATCCAGAAAGACGGCAGTGACGAGCGCAGCTGAGTTTGCTGGTAATGGCTTTCACACTTCGCTGCCAAGTCATTGTTTGACCGCCTCTGGCTCCCTTCCACCCTTCAAGTGATTGTGTCAAAAGAGCCCTTCGAGGAATTCGGTCGACTGGCATACGCAGCAAGTGGCCAAGCCAGCGTAACCTATGCAGTGTGATCAGTTCGTCTATCGACGGTGAGTTAATTTTCCCGAATATCATTTGACGTACTTCAGAATTGCTAATCCGGTGTTCCCACCAGATTCGGGCAATGCTCCGAAGACATTGATGGTCAAACACTGAAAGTCTTTTGACGTTCTCAGCGCGCAGCGACCAGGTTTTTGATCCATATAGTAAAATGGAGCGCACCGAAGCATCGTAAACTCGACCCTTGACAGAGAAGCTGATGTCACGCCTACGCCACAGGTGACGTAGGTTCACAAAAGCTGTTCTGGCCTTCCCAATCCGGATGGAAATATCATCTCTCGCCAGACCACCGGAACTGATGCAGCTGTCTAGGTAAACAAATCAGTCTACTAGCTCAATCGGTTCATCCGCATGCATGAGGCTAGGGTTCGAGCCCACCAAGTCTAGCATTAACACTTCACACTTTGCCGGTGTGAAGCGCACTCCAAACCATGAGGTGGAATTATTTAGATTATTTAATGCTGTTTGCAGTACCACGGGGTCAGATCCCAGAAGAGCTATGCCGTCTGCGTACTTGATACCTGTGAGTGGAGGCCCAGGGAGCACTTCGACCCCACAGGCATTAAAGGCCGGTAGTGAGTCTTCCATGACCATATCGATGACGAAGTTGAAGGTGGAAGGTAAAAAGGATAGCCCTGTCGGACACCACTTGATGTGGTGAACTCAGGAGAGAGCTTCCCGTAGACCTTTACACGGCCTCAAGAGTTGGCGTACAGCGCCTTAATGAGGGTAACCTGGCAGTATCTCCGCTCACATGTTTGCCACGAGTCGCATGGCAGCCAGGACCGCAAGGGTGTTACACCTGAATGATTATTATTACTATCACTATTTTAGACAAGGCAACGTAATTCGCTACGGTCTATTGGCGTACCCTGCATTATCATACCTCACTTTTTTAAAAAGATGTCTTGGGTCTTCCATTGCTACCCGGTGAGGAAAGCGTCGAGGTGAGTGCATTGTTACCGCTAATTTTCGGACAATTGTAGTTCCAATTTACAAGTAACATATTGTGCCATTAGGTAATCAAGTGCTCAAGCCTGAATGGAAACTTACAAGAATGGCACAGCAGTAGGTGCAGTCACATCAGAGAGTGTTTTATTCCCCCCAGACATACTCGTCGCTCTGTCGTGCAAAAGAAAACTAATATGACTTCTGCACCATAACAGCTGACGAGGGACAGCTGGCCACGCATTAAGGGATGTATGTGGTCGGATGTAAGTTGAGAGAATGGAATTGATTTTCCTTGAAGCTGAAGAATCTTTATCATCACTGAAATTAATACATCGAGAGTATATAGTGCGCCAAAATGCCAAACAACCAGGAAGGGAGCTTTGGTAAAGCGTGGAACGATAAGGTAAGTTTCGAGACTTAGTACATAGTGGTAAAATGCCCTTAGGACTAAACAGTGTTGGAACAAAAATATCCGAGCATCGTTTCGAATTAAGGCAACGTCAACGAAACTGACGATGTCTTTCGCGAACTTCACCCAGCACGAAACGATAGGCGAAATTTAGCTAAGCGGTCCGCCTCATAAGTGACAGCACGCAACTCACTGAGATCGGTTACGTGCCATATACTTCAGAGTTCCCAACCATATGGAAGGACAACATGGACCCGTCAAGGAGCGAAAATCTGGCTATAGCCGCCTTTTGTTCATTTTACGATGTGATGGTACGTCCTCCACCTGCCTGTCACTGATGGTGGTGTGGAATAGAAAACTGCTTTTTGGTAGATGCTGGCTTGGTGTGCGTAGTACATGTTCCAACTACTTAACCTGGTGAATTACACTCAATGATCCAACGATTCTGATTCGTTACCAAGCTTGAGCACCACCTCGTTGCATACGAACCGCGGTCAGATAACTTGTAACGCTACAAAGAAAGCATCTTCATCGACGCCACACCAGTGCTCAAACTCTGGTGCTTCGCAGTCGTAAGGAAGACATCAGTGATTAAACGTTTTGGGATATTGAAGGACCCCAAATCTGAGTTTCCCAAATAAGCTTTGTAAGGTAGGACTTTTCTTGCAGTTGCCTTGTATATATGACCCTTTAATTTCACGTTTGTTTCAGACGCCACAAACGATGCTGGCGCGCATTACTAGAGCCCTGACTATGTGGGCAATGAATCCAGCTACGGTGGTTAGACCATGAACTGGACATGCCGAATCAGTGTCGTCCGTGCGCCACTCAGAGTGGTGCAAGCAGAGAGGTAGCCAACCTTTGACCTTAGAGATGGTTATGAAAGATTACGAGAAATCTGAGTATTTTCGGTGGGAGTTCAGTGGCGTCCTTGTTGTCAGTTTCTATCCAGTGTCTGAATGAATGTCTGGAGGTGCAGGTACCCCAAAGTGGTTTTGATAGGCTAGATCTAAGTCTCCTTTATTCACAATAAGGCTTTCAAATAAATTGTGGTTGTGTCGCACAGAACCATCAGTATTGAAAACTGTTGTTGACGATGATATGCGAAGTCTACTTCGTTAGCTTTGATTAACTCACCTACTTGAGGCCTCATAATTTCTGTTTTGCTAATTAGCTGGAACAGATCCTGCACATACAACTTTTCTGGTTTCTATTTCCTGAGTTTTCTGATTCCGCCAAGCCTCTCTGTACACACACAGACTACATTTGCAACGCCCCTAATCGATCACCACCGAATGGATAGAGCGTCAAGGGGTAGTGATCATTCTGGGATTCAGTGGATTCCATGTAGATGTTCGGACACATCACAGACACATTCAAGTGACATTCATAGTTATGAAAATTCCAAATCAGTTGCCATCGATTTCCTTTGAGTGGGCTGCTTATGTGGCATCGTCCACAAACTAATGGTGTGCTCGTTTAATTGGTGGTTCACGAAGTTTTCCTGTTAATGAATGGGGAGCCCCGAGTAAATTTGGTGATAATCCGAGCCGAACGACAACACGATTTGAATCGACCTGGGTATCCGACCAACATCAGTGCCATCAGTGGTTGAGGGCTACACGACCACTGTGACTAAAAGGCAACTCAAATTCAGGCAACGAGTAATAAAACAGCATCCACAACATTAACGAAAAGCAACAGATGATCGGGACACATCTACAGACGCTCACCAGTATCACTACGTTTTGCGTCTAGCATAAACATACTACCGTGACATGCCACTGATGAAATAGGGTGTCCTACTCTGATTATTCAAACTGCTTCTCGTATGAACATACCGGAATTTTTCTTGGTGTGATAGGACTATAGTGGTCAGTTAATGTCAGCGTGACAGTCAGCAGTCTTACATTACGTGCATGTAATGTCACTCCTTCTGTACCCTGGCGTCCATCCACACGTCGTTTCTTGTTATACCTACTGAGACCAGTGTACATTCTTTCTCTTAGTTGGGTACGTAATCAGACATTCTTTTGCTCTTGATTTCCCTCAACATAATCGACCTCTGCCAATGACTGACAGTCTTGTTAAAACAAGCACAGATTTTTAGACTGTCACCACCGTGGTTGGTTGAGTTCTTTCGCGGCATCGCTCCCTAAAAAACCTTGTTTTCGAAGAGTTTTCCGCCGCAGTTTATTTTCTTACTTTGGACGTGGCTTCAACAACATACCTTTACGCCCAATATGTCTAACTGGGATTGTCACAACAGATTCTTTGGTCTAGCTGGTTAGACAGCAACCACCGAATATCACGTGGAAGAACAATTTTGAGCGTACATCTATTGTAGTTGATATCCTGTTTTGGTAAGCAATTCTAAAGAGTAGTTGGTTCTAAATATAAGCATTATCGAAGGCATCAATGGTCATTCAACCGATTTCTCAGAAATGTGAGATCGAGAATTCAGTCGAGTGGTGAAGCGCCAGCTGGCAAAATGAAAAGGAAACCGCTGTGGTAACTGAAGCTTTAACTGAAATTCAGAGTCGATGGTGCCGTAAGCTGAAATACTGCACGTCTATCTTGTATTTGCGCTTTAGAGATGATCCAGCTGTTGATCGATAAAGCGTTTGGAATACGGGTAAATGCTGCTTGTTGGCCAACCCGAGTTCTCGCGTTAGGGTTTATAATAAAAGCAAGAAAACCAGCCCATAGTGGCGGACGAGCAACGGTATATGTGAGCAGCGGCGTCCGATTGATGTTTCCTACGCGTTTGAGTGATGTGCCTACAGGTAAGAATGATGTAATGTTTCGGGTATTGCGCTAGTCTGCCCTGCTGTATGCAACGAGGCAACTAAACTGACATCACCAAGCAACGGCTGACGTGGTGTTGAAAGATTCATATTAATATGGTCCACAAAACTGTCAAGTCCCCGATCTTGGGTTGGAAGATATTCAGAGTTGCCGAAAAAAGGTCTTCAAAGGCCTTCGTTTTTTAACTGACCGGTTAAAAACCTGACTGCATGGCGGCGGTGATTGGCGCAAGAGCATGAGTATTCGGCATATTGAGAAACATATGCTTCCTTCGGGTGGTATGGCAGTTACGAAGCGAAAGCGTGCTACAACAGAACAGGAATCA